CCATGTTGCCCAGGCTGATCTCAAACCCGTGGGCTCAGACAATCCTCTCACCTTGGCCTCCCAAAGTGCTGTTGAGCCACTGCACCCGGTCAGTGTTTTACTTTTAGAAAACAAATGACTGGCTTGGCACAATGGCTCACTCCTGTAATCCTAGCATTTTTGGAGGCCAAGGTGGAAAGACTGCTTGAGCCCAAGAGTTCAAGACCAGCCTGGGCAACATAGCAAGACCCCATTTCTATTAAAAAGGAAAAAAAAATGACTCCTTAAAATGTTTGAAAAATACAGAATATATAACAAAGGAAATTAAAAATTCCTAACTTTACCATGGTGAGGATTTATTTATATGCCTTTCTCTTTAACCTAGTTGAGATCTGCCACAGACATGAAGTCAAGTTAATACAGGAATGTTCAAACATCTAACAAAAGATGATAAAAGTTGGATATTGGCCAGGCTCGGTGGCTCAGTCTGTAATCCCAGCACTTTGGGAGGCCGAGGTGAGTGGACTGCCTGAGCCCGCAGGTTCAAGACCCGCTTGGGCAACTTGACAAGACCTCATCTCTACAATAAATCAAAAAATTAGCCGGGCATGGTAGTGCGCGCCTGTAGTTCCAGCTACTTGGAAGGCTGAGGCAGAAGGATCGCTGGAGCCCAGCAGGTCGAGGCTGTGGTGGCCGGGAGTGGCCATTGCGCTCCAGTCTGGGTGACAGTGAGACTCAAACTCAAAAAAAAAGTTGGAGATTGACAATGGGCAACAATGAAACCAAGATGTTTGAAAGTCTTTTCTCCACACTCAAAAAAGAACAGATTCATGTAATTCAATATGAATTCTATGGTGACACATTAAGCCCCTCTGGCACATTACTAGTTAAACATTTCAGGTTCGACTCAAAGAGTAGCTCACTTAATATCAACATCTGAGCAATGGTGAGATTCCAATACACAGGTCAGGCTAGAACCAGCATTTCTATTTTCTCCCTGCCATCATTTATCAAGTTGTATATCTGTAGTGTAAAAACTACAAAAAAGTCGGGCTCGGTGGCTCAGCCTGTAATCCCGCGCTTTGGGAGGCCGAGGTGAGTGAACTGCCTGAGCCCGCAGATTCTAGACCCGCCTGGGCAACTTGGTGAGACCTCATCTCTATGATAAATCAAAAAATTAGCCAGGTGTGGTAGCGCGCGTCTGTAGTTCCAGCTACTTGGAAGACTGAGGCAGAAGGATCGCCGGAGCCCAGCAGGTCGAGGCTGCGGTGGCCGGGAGCAGCCACTGCACTCCAGTCCGGGCGACTGAGTGAGACTCCAACTCAAAAAAAACAAAAAACAAAAAAAAGACTACAAAAAAATATATCCATTTGGTAATGATGTTAACTTGTGTTACTATAACACATGTATCAAAGTTTACAGGTGTAACTACGGTATGAGAAAACAGATTCTTGAAGCATTTGGGATATACCTTAAGATATTCACTGTATTCATCCTCAAACTTCTTGCCCCAGATACTGTTACCTCCTCTTCCAGTACCTATATTACAAGACAAGCAAATCAAAAGAAGTATCTAATTTAAGTTGAAAAGGTATATTTCTAGCTAGCACGGTGGCTCACGCCTGTAATTCCAACACTCTGGGAGGTGGAGGCAAGAGGATTGCCTGAGTCTAGGGGTTAGAGACTAGCCTGGGCAACATGGAGAGAACTCGCCTCAACAATAAAAAAAAAATTAGCTGGGCATGGTGGCATTTGCCTGTGGTTCCAGCTACTTGGAAGGCTGAGATGAAAGGATCATCCAAACTCAGTAGGTCGAGGCTACGGTGGCCATGAGCATGCCACAGCACTACAGTCTGGAGGACAGAGTGAGACTCCTACTCAAACAAAAAGAAAAAGGAAAGAAAAGGGTACATTTTCTAAAACTTAAGGGCTACCATATTTGTATTATAACTCTTTAAATTCAAATAAAATTGGATATGGCCTCTTGTACTTACCCAAATTTAACTTTACAGGCCCAAAGAATAAAATATGCCTACAGTCAAACTCAGTGGCTCATGCCTATAATCCCAGCACTTTGAAAAGGGGAGACGAGAGGATTGCCTGAGCCCATGGGTTCAAGACCAGTCTGTGCAGCATAGTGAGACCCCATCACCATAATAAGTAAAAAAAAAAATAGCGGGGCATGGTGGTGTGTACTTATAGTTTCAGCTACTTGGAAAGCTAAAGTGGAAGGATCACCTGAACACAGCAGGTTGAGGCTGTGGTGGCTGTGAGCATGCCACTGCACTCCAGCCTGGGCAATAGAATGAGAATCCAACTCAAAAAAAAAAAAAAAAAGGCCGGGTGCGGTGGCTCATGACTGTAATCCCACCACTTTGGGAGGCCGAGATGAGAGGACTGCCTGAGCCCATGGGTTTGAGACTAGCCTGGGCAATTTAGCAAGACCTCATCTCTACAATAAATCAAAAAATTAGCCAGGTGTGGTGGCACATGCTTGTAGTTCCAACTACTTGAAAGGCTGAGGTGGAAGGATCGCCTGAGCCCAGCAGGTTGAGGCTGCAGTGGCTCTGAGTGCCACTGCACTCCAGCCTGGGTGACAGAGTGAGACTCTGACTCAAAAAAAAAAAAATTTTATACACACACACACATATGTATACATACACACACACATATATATATACACACACACCTACAAAAAACAAAACAAAAAACAAACAAGACTAACTCTCCGTATCAATAGTGTGCACATTTTGTTTTTGAGTCAGAGTCTGTCACCCAGGCTAGAGTGCAGTGGCACACTCACGGTCAACACAGCCTCGATCTGTGCTCAAGTGATCCTTCTACCTCAGCTTTCTATTAGCTGGAACTACAGGTGCTTGCCACCACACCTGGCTAATTTTTTTTTTGAGTCGGAGTCTCACTCTGTCGCCTGGGCTGGAGTGCAGTAGCACGTTCACGGCCACTGCAGCCTCAACTTGCTGGGCTCAGGCGATCCTTCTGCCTCAGTCTTTGAAGTAGAAGGAACTACAGGCACACACCACTATGCCCAGCTAATTTTTTTATTTATTGTAGAGATGAGGTCTCCCCAAGTTACCCAGGCTGGTCTTGAACCCGTGAGTTCAGGCAATCCTCTCACCTTGGCCTTCCAAAGTGCTGTGATTATAGGTATGAGCCACCACGCCCAGCCTAATTTTTTTTTTTTAATTTATTGTAGAGACAAGGTCTTGCCAAGTTGCCCAGGCTGGTCTCAAACCCCTGGGCTCAGGTAATCCTCTTGCCTCTGCCTCCCAAAGTGCTGGGATTACAGGCATGAGCCACTGTGCCTGGCACATTTTTTTTTCTTTAATATGAAAACTTCACAGATTTGTGTGTCATTCCTGCACAGGGTGATGCTAATCTTCTCTGTATTATTCACATTTTAGTATTCATTGGTGCTGAAGTGAGCACAATATTGTTCATACTTTAGGGCTTCTGCTTAACAATTTCTTGCTATGGTATGGGGGCTTGGTTATAAAAACTCCGCATGCTATTCTTTTCCTAGTCTTCTTTTACCTTCTTCCTCATACTATACATCCAATTCCCTTCATCTTAGTTAATGGAATAGCTTACCTGTTGGATCTCCTGTCTGAACCATGAATCCCTTGATATTTCTATGAAATACACAGCCGTTGTAGTAATTACTGGCACAAAGAGCCAAGAAATTCTGAGGAGAGTAAAGATAATGATTTAGAAATGATGAAGCAGAAACCCACTTGAGACAAAGAACCAACTTTACTAACTGAAAATACTATAGCAGTGCAAATGAGTTTTTGATATTACTTTGGATAATGTTACTTCCATGCCTAATACACATCAATAGTTTCTATCTCTTGGAATAAATACAAAATCTTCAGCAGCGTCTGATAACCTGCAGGACCTGGCTTCTCTCTTCAACTCACATAAAAACCCCTTCCCTATCACTCACTACGTTAACCCCACCAGCATTCGGACAATTCATCTGAAAGGGGCAGGTTTTCCCACCTTGAGGCCTTTGGACCTGCTATTTGCATACTTGCAATGTTCTTTATTTTATTTCAAAACTTTTCTGAATCTGGAAACCTGGAATATTCTTTTTCCCACCTGTTTTCATGGAGATGCCTCCACACCCTTGCACTCAGTTTACGCATTAATTTCTTGGCTAAGCCTGACTCGCCTTCTTCTTTTTAGTAGTTCCTATTCCATTATTCTCTATCTTAAGAAATAAGGCATGTTCACCTTTCAGAATTACTCAATTGTCCCATTCTGCCTATTTTCTCAACTAGAATATTAGCTCCCTGAAGGTGAGGAATGTCTGTAGCTCATCAGTATCCCAGACTGCAAGACAGCCCTTCACAAATACTTGTCGAATGAGTGAATACATACAGATGACTCTTCTTCCTTCTAGCCTCATCATGTAAACAGGTGGAATAACATATAACAGTTCTTTTCTCTAGTATCCTGATGACTACCTTTCCTGACAAAAAATAAGCCAAAAGGAAAAGTACTGGCCACTTTATAATTACAGAAAAATGTTCTAGCCTCTCTTTGATCCACTTTTGACATCAGGAAAGATAAGTGGGAATAAGGCAGGAAGTTCTAATGGCCAGTTAGTCCTGACAAGGGTTTTACAGAAAGTTTTGTTGTTATTGTTGTTTAGGTTAGATTCCATTTCAAAATGGTTACCCTGTGACATAACTGATGTTGAATATGTAAATAATGGTACTCACCTCACATGTTCTGGGTGTCCTCTCACAGAAGACTTCAATTTTAATATCCCCTACATCTGTGTGCAATGTCACAGACTAAAAAGGAGGGAGAATATGAAAACAAGTGAGATTTCTTCAGGTGACTTTATGCCCTGTGTTATTTCTGAGTGGATATCCAAGAAGACAATCTGCATAAAAACAGACAGCAAGTAGCCGGGTGTGGTGGTGCATGCCTGTAGTTTCAGCTACTTGGAAGGCTGAGGCAGAAGGATCGCCTGAGCCCAGCAGGTCGAGGCTGCAGTGGTCGTGAGCGTGCCACTGCATTCCAGCCTGGGTGACAGAGTGAGACTCCAACTCAAAAAAAAAAAAAAAATAAGAACCAGACAATAATAAATACCACATCACAGATGACCCATCCATATGGCAACTCTGAAAGATAACTTGTATTTTTTCCTCAAAATTTCTGTTTTTCTTCTTTTTTGAGTTGGAGTCTCATTTTGTTGCCTAGGCTAGAGTGCAGTGGCACGCTCATGGCCACCACAGTCTTGACCTGCTGGGCTCAGGCGATCCTTCCGCCTCAGCCTTCCATGTGGCTGTAACTACAGGAGCATGCCACCACACCCGACTAATTTTTTTTATTTATTGCAGAGACGAGGTCTTATCAAGTTGCCCAGGCTGATCTCTAACCCCTGTACTCGGGCATTCCTTTCACCTTGGCCTCCCAAAGTGCTGGGATTACAGGTGTGAGCCACTGTGCCAGCCCGCATTGCTTTTCTTTTAAAGTTCTAGCTGCCCACTTTAAGTCCAGAGCAAAATAACCCTACTAAAATGGTCAGACCTGGATATTGTTTTCAGCTCCTTCAATTTTCCCTTTCCATTTTTTTGTTTGTTTTTTTTTCCAGTTTCCAAGGCTGGAGTGTAGTGGAGTGCAGTGCTATGATCAAGGCTCACTTGATCACCTCAACCTGGTGGGCTCAGGCATTCCTTCCGCCTCAGTCTCCCAAGTAGCTAGGTGTGTGCCAACACAACTAACTAATTTTTTTGATTTTTTTTTGTAGAAAGGAGGTCTCGCCATGTTGCTTAGGCTGGTCTCACACCCCTGGGCTCAGGCAATCCTCTCGCCTCAGCCTCCCAAAGCGCTGGGATTACAGGCATGAGTTACCATGCACAGCCACCTCCTTTCCATTTCTGTCTATCTCGTAATCAACCTTTCTCCCCAAAAGGTAAATTCTGTGCATTTTAAGTGAACACATTACCTAATTTTGACGTCATTTTGCTTCTTTCTGGTTTTTAAAAATAATCATCCTACATTATATGCTTCTATAGCCTATAGTTTCTTTATATGGCCACCGATCTTTCCATGCACTTTTATTGCCCTTGACTGAATCTAAAAGTTACTTTCAATGAAAAACATTTCACAAGAGTTGTACAAAACTTACCATTTTTCTTCTTAATGGTTTCAGGAAGGACCACTTAATTCCCGAGGCTTTTCGAGAGAAACTCAAAACCTAGTCTCTATTTCTGAGAGAAAAAAAAATTAAGCTTATTTTTCTATCTTCTTAACTCACGCTCATCTTTACTGTGTATTTAAAATAAAAATGCAAGACTAGCCTCAGCAACATAATGAGACCTGTCTGTAAAAATATAAGTAAAACTTAAAACTAATAAAAATTAAAATAAAAATTCTCGAGTGGCATCCCCACGTAATAAAAACCCGGCTACAGAAGTGATGAAGTGGAACCGCCGATTCAAGCCCTCATGTCTCCTACTTGCAAGTCCTCCAACGGGCCAGGCACCTTCCCGCCTTAGGGACCAGGCACTGGGTGTGCTGCAACGCTTGCACTCAGACATATCTGTAGGGCTCATTCCCAAGTCTCCGCTCAACTGCGAAGGTTTAATTGACCTGACAACCCTATTTTAAACTGCCTTAACTCTAGGACATGCCTATTTCCTTTTCCCATAGCACTTATCACTAATATACCGTTCCATAAACTTTCCCTATTTTATTCTGACGTTCCAAAAACATCCTCTCCGCTCAGCGCGTTCATTCCAAGGATCCCAAGAACTCAAAAAGTGGCAGCACCAGCCTAGCAAGCACTGGCATAAGTGAGTGAAAGGTTGAATGAATAACGTTACTCCATACTCAACCACTTCAGTTAACACAGCCGTTGTTAAGACAGGAAAGCTGAAATCGCGAATGCCTGCACAGGTCTGTGGATTCAAAATTACAGTTTCCTTGGGCCAGCGGAAGTTCAGCGCTGTCCCATTCAAAAGAACGCCCCTCACTCCCTTCTCCCTCCCCTCTCCTTTCCATTTCAAACTTAAGCGATTAGAGCTAGGGAGACAATGTAATAATCCCTCACCTGAGATTTGACAGTGAAAGGGACCTCTATTAATAATTACACTGGGCCACGAAGCATAAGCCGAAACTACCTGTAGGGCAAATTCTAGCAACGCTCTAAGCGCGGCTGGAAAATGGAAAGGACCACTTCCGCCCAGCTTTTTCCCACGGCCACCGCACCAGTTCCTGAAGTTCCGGCGCATGACCGGAAGTGACGCAGGAGCGTTTCTGGAACTGGTGAGCAGTGGGCGATTTAAATAGCTGCGAGGGTCCCTGTGACCTACGCGGTGGATTTCGGCCGGGTGGTGCTGTGGCTCTTGTGGTGGCATTGCGGAGAAAGAGCAGGAAGGGAGATTGGGGTAGAAAAGTGAAAATCAGCCGGACGTGGTAGCGCCTGCCTGTAATTCCGGCTACTTGGAAGGCTGAGGCGGAAGGATCACCGGAGCCCGGCAGGTTGAGTGCGGTGGCCGGGAGTGGTCACTGCACTCCAGTCTGGGCGACAGAGTGAGACTCCGACTCAAAAAAATAAAATAAAATAAAATAAAAATAAAAAGTCTTAAAAAGCCAGACTTGGTGGCTCAGCCTGTAATACTGTGTCTTTGGGAGGCTGAGGTGAGTGGATTGCCTGAGCCTGCGGGTTCGAGACCTGCCTGGGCAACTTGGCGAGACCTC